ACACGATATTGCGTGTGTGCGTGGAAGACACGCTCTTTATAACATGTGTGCAAGAACGCAATACACGCAGTTGCGGTTAGCCCGGATAGACCTCTAAGCCCCAACCAACTCGAGCCAATTAAAGTCAACCACAATCTCCGCGTGCGTCGCCGAACACGATACATGAAACCATTTCATGCTCGACGGATTTAATGCAACTCGTGGGGTTGGTTGTCGTCACTGAAATCGTGAAACGATTTTTTTTGGACAGGTAACCAACCACCCGATCGACCCTGTGGCTTCGATCGCCGAAAAATATTTTCTTTATGCAACCGACCCCGTCATTTTCCTTTAAAAAAATACGATAACCTTCAAAATTGTGTGAACAAGGACGTAATTTCTCACCAAAATTGTTTCTTACCCAACCGACCTAACCGGACGATAAACGACCAGGCGTTCGGCAAACTGGCGTTAAGTTCACTTATTTTCAGCCCATATTAGTGCAATCCACGAAAACACACAGCCTAAAAGGAAGTGTTTGGTGTCCTGAGTGGGACTGAGAACAAACATCTAGACTGTAAAACTGTCAGTGATCAAAGCAAATGAATTGACAACTATTTGCGTTGGAAGTATCCACTTCACGGAAAGCTGACAGAATGTTTCTGTAAATATAAACTTGTATGAGAACAAATATCATATCCCCAGCTACATATCTGTAAATGCAAACATCCTCAAGTACAGTTATACAAACGAATTTTTGGTAGACATAATGCGACACGTAATTTGATTGGCCGATTCAATATCAGCGTGAACAAATTTATCCACTGGGGATAGACGACCGGCCGACAACCTTCTGGCCTACGTTGAGAAAAAAAAACATTCAGTGCTGCTGATTCTTCCTTGAAATTCCTGGAAGAAATGATAAACTACAGATTTCTGGGGACAAGGAAGCAATTGTTCACCCGTGTTTTTCCCCGATTGACCTCACCCGACGCGAAACACAAGCACGCGATGTTGAATTCAATTTATTTTTCGGCCCTGGTCCTGTGATCCAGCACGATACACGAGAAAACTAGCAGAAAATACTTCGACATCCTGCGTGAGAAAACAGAACTGCAAAATTATGAGCTAGCAACTTTGTTTGTACGAAAGGATTTCTTTTTAGAGCCCAGGTCCTACGAACTCCCAAACATTTCAGAAAAGCTGATAAAAATTCCTGACAATAAACTTCTACGAAAACTATTATCTATTCCTAAAATACACGTTTACCGGCAATGCAAACATGAAAAATTTACACAGATTTTCATGCATAGGATAAAATGTGAAGCGATGCAAACCTTGTCACTACTAGATCGGGCTTTGTTGCAGGATCTGGCCGAGTCTTCTGGATAACTGTTTTCGCAAACGATTGGCTTTCCCTGGTTTCTTGTCTGCCACGTATTCCGGCGAATTTCATGGAAATTGTAAACCTACTGTCTCGCTTCAGTAGACGAAAAACTTTTTCCTTTTTTTTTTACATGTTTAATAGAGCATTCAAAATTCCATCGGTCTTTCTTCTCATAGGGAAAACTGTTAACTAAATTCCTTACAATCCTTATGGGGCAAGGGAATCAAGAGTAGGTGTGCATAGCATGGTTTAGTTTTGGTATTGAGCCCCTGCTAGTACGCTGTAAATGACTTGAGAAACTTCCATGTTCTGGGTATTGAAAGAATTTATAAAAGATGCCAGGTTCATACGTTCATAGTTCCATTTTTAAATTTCTAGTGATGAAAAGATATCAGAATTCATATATTTAATTCAAACCTGTCTCGTTGAAACAAGCACCTTTCACCTAATGATCCAGAGCCTATCACATGTGGGGGTTTTCCTTGTCGCCTGTATATTACACTTGACACGGCCGTGAGCTGGAATTAGCAGGAATGGAGAAGGGTCCTTTCGCGAATCACTCTTGGAAGTTTAGAGTTAAGCTTAGCGTTTACTGTTATAAATAAGAGCTGCATCATTTTTATGAAAGAACTGTTAGTGCTCAACTAATTTTTGTATGCTCAAAATCAGAAATTTAGGCTAAAGGCCAATTGTAACTTTTAAGGTGCGGTTTTAAAAGATGTGGCAATAATATATAAGCTGTCCTTTCTCTGACTTACCTTTTTTCATTTAGGATTATAAACCCTCGAACTCTTCCTGTGACACAGATGTTCAATAGAAATGCTGAAGAACCGGATGAAGCTGCTAGCCCTAGCTTTGGCTTTTATTTGGCAAAAATGCTTGTTCAATTTTAATGAAATAATTTAAGAGGGAAAAATATTGCAACCATTTTCAGAAGCCTTTTGTCACGATGAAATCTTGAACTTAGATTCAATGCTTTACAAAAAAGTACATACAAGTCAGTGACACAAACTTGCTGAAGAAATTGGTAATCAGATAAAAAATCTGATGGCCCCAAAGGAACGATGAACCACTTTCTGAAAATTTAAAGGAAATACACGTAGGCTGAAACTCACTGAGTACGTCCACATTACTACACGTACATGCAACACGGTCTGAAAATAGTGTTTTTTAGCTGATCACAATAAATTAAAATAAATCGACCCCTTTTCCCCATCCCCGATTTGTTTCTTATTTGATATTTTTTTATTTAAAGCACATCAATCCCACAATTTTTCATTTATCTGTCCTTAAACTTGTTTCAATAAACTTACTCAAGTAAAACCAACGCCACACAACATTTGTTCTCTTTTCAAAACAGAAAAATTCAGAAATTACAGAAAAGTCCATTTTAAGTGTTTCTTGACTTTGGTCCTATATTGTTTTGTCTATTAACTGCCCTGCGCCTCGGCAATCATCGAGGCTGCTTTTCCTCATGAGCCAGCTTGTCACCTAAATGGAAAAAAAGATGAACGGATTTGTAAAGAATTGCACATGCTAATTAAACTAATTTTAAAACATGAGCTCGATACATGCACACAAAAAACAATCAACTTACCTGCAGAACTATTGCCCAAGTTTCTTACATGTAGGCCTTGACAAGAGTTTTTATGTTCTGAATTAAAATGCATGGAAGTGATAAAAAAGTTTGTTACTGAAAGTCATGTTGAAAATAGTCAATATCTGTTATCAAATTAAAAGCAGTATTTTTTCCACCGTGGCGATGACTGAAAAGGCCAAACTTTCCAAAATACATTTACATTTATGGGCATCTTGCGCATGTACGGTAGATGACTATTCGCCTGGGAGTCACGCGGACGATCGCTCATTGAAGTTGTAGTCCAGAGCCACATGTCGCTTTGCAAAGGCTTTGTAGAAAGAATACAGATTGGTAGCTATTATGTCCCAAAATCGGCCCCGAGTATGCCCACTTAAGTATTGCAAACACAGTGGAATTGCCGCCGCGCAGTAAAAAATTGTTTATACACGCCGCCATGATGAATTGCAAGAGATTCAACTTGCTACAACTCTAGTTTTTACAGACTACATTCCCTGGAAATTCTTTTCAGATAGTTGATTATGAGAAGACTCCATAATGGCGAAACCCGTTCTTCAATTTTCATGCTAGGCCTAGACTACGCCCGTCGCAAAAGACAGTGAAAATCCAGCATTTTTTTCCAGTCGGAAACGTGATGCATTGCCTTTGGTGAGGGTGCCCAGGGAAATGTAGACTGAGGCGTTTCCTGGCCACTTTCCTCAGGCTCTTACAAACAAATCTACAAGATTTAAATTTATGGGAGGTGCATTTGGCTATCAGAAGTCAATTTTTGACGGGCATTATTTTTTTTATTTGATTCTTTTTTTAATTTATTTTTTGAGGCGAATATACATGTAGTACCGGTGAACAGCCCTGACGCGGCGCGGATTAGCATTTATCCAGAGGGAAAGGAAACTCGTATTTAAGGCAAAGCTGGCTCTCCATGCAACAAAGTGAATGAATATCGAATCAAATGGCTATAAGTTAAAAATGGTACTTTAATTTATCCTAAAGACTGACATTCTGGCCTTGTTAATGTTCGCAATACATATCGCCTATCCAGCTACACGGGCATAATCAATTTTGTGTGACGTCAGGGCTATGCGCGTACGTAATTGGTCAATCGGTGGTACAGTGGTCATCTGTCTATGCCTGTTCCACGTGGCTTGTTCTTACACTGTACCACTGATTATTCAGATGAAGGGCCGTGTTCATAGTTAAACCATCGTACATAATACTTGTGAATTTTTCAAAAATATACACACAATTGAGTTTTGTTTTAGAGTCTATAAAATTTCGTTAAACGACCAAAATTAAATGCTTTGCCAGGAAATCTGCTTTTGTTGGGTGGTTCTGACTGATAGGATTTCTCACTTTCTAGCTTGATTTTTTTGTCCGAACTTGCTGATCCAGATAATTATAAACCGATCCAGAAAATGTCAGCGGCGCTTTCGACAGTCCTGTATATCTCAAATTAAAAGCTTTAAATTTGAAAAATCTCCTTCACACAAGGTGGACGATTAAGTTGTGGATTGTCCGTTCGTAGTCGAAGTTTTGCGATCCGAAACTACGAAAATATTTTTTGTTTTTCATGGGACATACTGTTTTTTGTACGTTGCGTCCACATGTAGAGACGGTGCTGCATAATTCCCAATATTAACGCCGACAAACTCCTTGTGTTCATTCCAACGTAGCGCAATAAACTACTTCGTACTTTGGAAACTTAGGACAGCAGAATGGGGGGAAATCCAGAGGATATAATCGGGGCGGTGAAAATTGTAGCAGAGCGGCGCAGGCACACAATTTTCGTCAGGGCGTCCCACAGCGGGCCCTGCATAAAAAAATACTCCAGTTGCCACGAGCGTTTTTTTTTATTTACCTTGACCAACATTTTCTTGAAAAGAATGTTAATGCTTGATTTTTCTATCTGTGTGTTAGTTGGTTCGATCTGCTGAAGAAACGAATGCCCCAGTAGATTAACTTTGTCATTTTTCATGTACAGAGATGTACTGTACGATGACCCGTCAGGAAAGTGGCATTGGTATTCCTGATGATATCGTACAATCCAGATCATTTCGGGGCGGCAGAGATATCTTTTTCACAAAAGGTGGACCGTTAATCCCATTTCATGAGATTACGTGAATCAGTTGTGCCGAATCAAATCAAGCCAGTACTCTTCGTAAACAGACTGCTTGGTAGTGACAGTAATATCTGCACCACAGGTGCACCGATCGATGTCGAAAGCTCATTAATGCAGGTTAGACAACTCAGTGTAGTTCGTTGTGCATCGTGATCGGATTCTTAACATTGCGATCGTGAATTTAATAGGGGTTTAACGCGTACGCCACGATTTTAAAGACATGCCATCATGCATGTAATTGCAGTGAACGGAATGCAGTGCCCTTGTACAAGCGTTCGGCATCCCCCTTCTTCACGTTCACAGGTCAGTGACACCATTGCGGGTGCAGTTTACTCAATACACGTTTCCGCTGTCGGGCGAACCCTCTTTATTAGTGCGTATATTGAGGACACCCTGCACGGTATATCAGGAAGCGTGTATTGTGTTGACGTGTGTGTGATCAATGTACATTGTGCCATCGCGTGAACCTTCACTCTTCCAGTAAGTGGAATTTTAACTGCTACATTGTAGTATGTGTGTGGTTATAAAAGTTTCAAAATGAACTAAAATGTAACGCAAGTCACCGTGAAAATGCCCTGACACAAAAAGTGACCACTCTGCTGTTTCAACCCAGTTGACCTTAGTGATTGAAAATGAACTGTGCATAATTTTTGGCGGAGTTGGAATTGTCATATGAACAGTTCGCTTGGCTTTCAGTATTCACTGTACAATTTCAATTTCAACCTTGTACAGGAGCAACCTTCAAGTGGCTAGTGGAAAATGACTTGGGCTACTGCGCCTATCTGGTGGCTACACTTGTGAATGAGCCCAAATCATCGTCCTTCTTGAGTGTAAACAAGTTTGCATTCAAGGAGTATTTGGAGGCTTTTCCTGAGGGAGTGGAGGCGGTGGAGATGAAAGCGGGAGAGGCCCCACGAAGATCTGGCCGTCTTGCGAGCAAGCCCCGTCCCACTTTCAAGGAAGAGGAACTCACCAACGAAGAACTGATGGAGGCCATGGAGGAATTTGACCCTGCCGATGCTATGGGACCAGGTTAGAACCATGCTCCTTGGACATTTTAAGTGAACATTAAATTTATAAAGCCCCTCTGCATGTTCTGAATGCTATCATTTTGCTTGTTTTATATGTTCCATGCATCCTCAGGTTTTCATTTCATTCAGGCGACAAGGCTTCTGGAGGTGGTGGAGGTACCACTAGTCGCAGACAGCCGCCATCTGCTAGCAGCAAGCCCCCACCCTCCTCCAGTAGAAGACCCCAAACATCCCCCGGATCTGAGAAGTACCTTGGTTGCACAGGCAGACAGGCAAGGTTGGTACAGTTTGGAGAAAAAAAAGAGTAAAACCACTAATGATACATTCATGATGTACAAAAACTAATGTGAATGTGTAGCACTAAAAAATGTCAAAGTGTTGTTCAAAAATGATCCTCATTACAGAGTGTGTTCTGACCGATGAATGGAGGTAGAGTCTCCCAGAAGTGGACCACCACTGGGTCTCCCAGGCAATCTTCAAGCTTTCCCAAAAGGGAAAGCCGGAGATCGACTACAGCAAAGTCAACCGCATGTGGTACGACCCTCCTTTGCCATGCTCCATCTATGGTCAGCCCCCAAACCGGTGTTTTTTTATACTCACCGGCTCTTCCTGTGGATACCTCATCGGCTTTGGGGGATACGGCTGGTCCGTCCGACTGACTCTTGCAGTGATCAAGAACTCCACTCAGCGGGCATGTATCCTCATGTCCGTCAGGTTGTGGACCTTGACGGGTTCTACAACCTGGCAGCTGAGTACCTGGAGTGCTCTCACTGCAAGAAGAAGTTCATTGGCTGGAGCCAGCCTATCCTGGAGCAGCTGGATGTGGGACACCGTGTCCAATTCCCCGCAATCTTGACGTACAAGCAGGCGTGTGACATCAAGGTCGTCCGACTCCTGCGCACTAGAGGAGTGGGAAATGGTCCCCACCAGCTGCAGCGAAAACTACAGGAACACAGCGAGGCCTGGCTCCAGAGGACAGCCCAGTACCTGTCTGCATGCGACGCATTCATCAAAGCCAGTGAGAGACAGCTCATACAGAAGCCTACCTTTGACCCACCCCCAAAGATGACCCCTGTCCCCACCTACCAGTGGCTGCTGCAGGTCTGTTGCAACGATGTTCTGCAGCACATTGATGAAACCAAGGCAGCCATCACATCCATCTTGGCAGGATCTTAAAAATGGACTCCACCAAGAAGGTGAGAAAAGATTTTGTTTGGCACAGTCATCGATTCAGACACTGACCTGCTGTATTTGTATTTTTTTGTAATGGCAATCTCATGTGGAAACACTTCCACAATATATTTGTGTGTGTCTCGCATAAGTTGTACCCCTTCTTCCTCCGAGAACTCTCGGCCTGCATCTTCTTGTGGAGTGCCGATGATGTCCAGAAGTTAAGGGAAGCCAAGCGGGTCCAGCTCCTTACAGCCAAGCATCACCAGCCATCTGAGGCAGTGGTCAACAACAGCCTCAGCAAGAGGGAGCTGACCCGCCATTGCAGAAGGATGACACGGGGAGAGGTGACGACCACCCGACTCATATAGGCTCTGCTCACCAACCTTGATGGGAAGCAGGGGTGTGACACCCTGGGAGTGCCACTTTTTGACTCGGCCTGCATGTGGGAGATCTGGTCATCCCAGAAACAGCACATCTCCTGTATTCAAGCCCCCCCCCCCGGTGTGCAGCTTTACACCCAGACTGGGGAGAGAGTTGTGGGTTACCCTACCATTGTACATATGTTCTTGTGGGTTGACGTTATTGGAGTCATTCCATCTGCATCTCAGCAACTTCATTCCTGGTAAGACACCAGTAATCTTGCATGTCATTATTGCAGTAACACTCCTTGGTCAGCAGTTCTTCGAGTGTGTTGTCTTTCATTTGTTATTGCAGAGACGCAAGCAAACGACGTGCACTTCCAGGCGTACCTGATGGAGGGGCTGGCGCAGTGGAATGCAGATCGTGCTGCAGAGGCCATAAACACCAAGGCACTCTGGCCATCTGCAATATTATGTGGATCAACTGGGGCAGCGTGTGCTCGGCAAGAGAATCAACCCAACACACACCACACCCCAGAAGTACACTGGTAGGGTATATCTTTGTTTTCACAGAAATGACTGAGCAGAGACTAAGTGGCCAAACAGATTCTACTAATACGGTGCATGTTAATTCTTACGTTTATATTTTGAACCATTTTTTCATGACCTGAAGAGCTCTTCGGGGTTAGTACTTGTACCAACGACCAATAAAGTGCTCGATGCATACATCCCTGATGATACTGGGGGTGACGAAGAGGACGAGGACGACTACCAGGAGGAGGAGACGGAGCTTGACCACACCATCCCCCAAGTCCATCACAGATGTTCCTGAAGCTCCCTCAATAGCCAAGCGATAAGCGTAAGTGAAATACAATGTACAAAGCAAACATACTGGTATTCTCTGCTAAGAACTACAATCTTAAATGATACTTTTTCCGTCACATTACAGTCACCTCACCCCCTCGTCTGCAGGCCTTCAAAAGAACACATGTGCCACTGACACGGCCTGGGTCATCATATTCTCCTCCTCCTCTGCCACAGCCATCCTCTACATATAGCCCCACCCATCCTCCAAGACACACCGATCCTCGCCGAACTAAGCCTGCCACGCTGTCCCGCAGACCGCCCACCCCTCCACCAGCGGACATGCCCCCTTTGTCTCCTATCCCTGACCCACCAGTCCTACAAGAGCAACTGGGCGTACCACCCCAGCCTACCCTTGATGACCCTGATGATGAAAAAGTAAGTAGCAAAGTTTCAAACCAAATATAACAGATGATGAACCGTTGCACTTTGTTCAGGTTTGAATGCCTCTAACTTACATACTTATGCTTATGTACTGCAGGACGAGACACTTGGACCTGATAGCATGCCGGGCTACGAGAGAGTGGAGGCTCTTGCAAGTTATTTGGACCATTTTTGTCAAGACAGGGGAGTAATCACAAACCAACAGGGCAACAGAATTATCGAGCTGTGGAATGCTCTACACCGTTCGGATAAGACTGTGAGGGTACCTCCCCATCATCAGCAAAAATTTACCAAGGGTAGGTTCAAGCATTTCAGGGGAATGACAGTGATTCCTGGCAATGACGGCACTTGTCGGTAAGTGAAAATTTCATATCACTTCCCCCCCAAAAAAGAAAAATCACTGATCTTTTCCTTGGCACACTGCCGATCATTGATTATTATTTTACAGGTGTTTCTTGGGGGAAAATACTGGCCCAGCTGTACCTGGCCTGATGCCAACAGGTACACGGAGTGCATCATTGACAAGCTGTGCTCTAATGTACCCTGGCCAGGTTCGACATCGGGGCCACAGCATTCAGGGATGGTCACTCATCATGACAGCCTACAAGAACATCCGTGACAAAGTGCTGTCCTCCTCACCAGGCACACTC